ATCCCTAAACCCTAAACCCACCTTTCAGCAAAGCCCTGGACCTTGGTAGAGGTCGAGCCAATCAAGAGGGGTGGTCATGGCCAATGCGATGACGTCAGCCGTTCGGCGCCCCTTCCTGATGCAAGCAATGCTGCTTGCACGCAACTGGGAGTTTAGGGTTTAGGGTTTAGGGTTTCTGGGAGAAGCTGATGTTTCATATGAGCCATAATTCTTAAGTCCTAGTATTTCCCTTGATAACCCCTATGATACTCCCCTACATCCATAGTCTAAACTCTTAATATCCCCCTAAATAACCCCTATAATACTCCCCTCTATAATCCCCTTGAAGGAGTTGAGACTAATAGCTCCTATGCTCTGGCCGGATGCAGCCAAGGATCCCAACGTCCTGCTCAGGCCGCCGTCCTGCCTGCTGCTTTGCAAGGTCTCTCACACCTATAGTCCCCCTCAAGTAGATAGAATATGGGGTATATGGGGATCTTATTATGATATACCCAGAGCCATGTTCTATCTCCTTAAGGGGGACTATAGTCTAAACTTAAACTCCTTCAAGAGGATTCTATAGGCATGTAGGGGAGGTATTATGGGGGTCACCAAGGGCGACACGAGGAGGTTAGACTATAGCTCATAAGCCAACTCCAGCGTCAGCCCGTAGTACAGCAACGCAGCGCGTCCTCCAGTGCAACCGGAGGACTGCGCAACAGCTGTATGACGCTTTGTCTCCCGACCCTGTTCCTTGGATTGATTCGAGGTCATGCTCAATATTCTTTGAAATGATTTGGGATACGCTGAGATATGTTAGGTTCCCAAAATAGGGGGACCCCAATATAGACCCCCCCAAAAAACAGTCCTTATTGGGACCCCAAAATGGTACCCCCAATTTTGGGAAACCCTAAGCCCTACACCCTATATAACCCCATCATAAAACTCCATACTATCCCTTTAAACCCCCTACAGTATAATCCCCTTTAAACATGGCCCAGATATCTGTTGGTAATGACAAGGTTCGACTGCGTGGCGTTGGGCTTGCGGCCAAGCTTGGCGGCAGCCTCAGCCCAGGGCGCATAGCTCAAGCATTCTTCAGGGGAATCATTTTGGGGTTTAGGGTTGAGGGGGAATCCCGATATAGCCCCAAAATACTATAATCCTTATAGAGGTTATATAGGGTTGTATATAGACAGCGGAAAAGAAAATGGAAACTGCTCGTACTTGGGGATTATGTCGGTGTTTATGGTAGTTTCCCAAAATAGGGGAACCCCAATGTAGCACGAAAATGTTATAATCCATCTTATAGGGACGCCCAAAAGGGTAGCCCTAATTTTGGGAAACCCCCTCATGATGGCGATCACAGGCACAGCCAGCTCGAACGCACGCGGCTGCCTCAGGCTTGTAGCGTTACCCGCTCCTGTACCGTTCACAGAGCAAAATGTGACTGATGGAAATGTCAGCTTCCGGCAGAGTTGAAATTGTAGACCCATGATTAATGCGGGTAATCTACTAATTGAGGGGCAAGATAGAGATTATATAGGGATAATGGAAAAGAAAATGGAAACTATTGGTGGATGACTGCCAAGGCAGCCCTCAGAAACCAGCAGTTGGTGGCAGCTCCAGCCTGAGCAGGCGCTCTGCAAAAAATAGGTGCAGAGACCGTGAAGGTCTTAGAGGAGGTCAGAAGGGGGTGCACGGCTAGCAGACTCCGAGAACGGAAAGACTTCCAGCGGCAAGAAAGAATGAGTTCTTGCTCCGCAGGTGGTTGAAGCGTGGCCCTTCAGAGGACAGACGTTTGATTGATTCTGGTGGCGTAGAGAATTGTTGTCTTCAATCTTGTGTCTTTCATGTCTCAGGCTTCTGAGGTTCCAGCACCAGCTGCAGAACCACAGATCGTCGGATCCACAGAGTCATCGATCCAACAAGCCAGGAAAGATTGCTGAAGCTGCAGAGGTGGTGGACTTGGAAGCCCTGGAGCAGGTCCCTTTGGGTAATTTCCCAAAATAGGGGCACCCCAACATACTATGATCCTTATTATAGGGACCCCCAAAAAGGTACCCCTAATTTTGGGAAACCCCCCATAAGGTATATATGTATATACATATATTTCTATATAGTTCTATATCCTAAGGTTGCATACACACCTCATGTTTTTGATATTCGGCCCTAAACCCTAAACCCTAAACCCCAAGCTCTGCCAGGAGCCTAGCAGCGAAGGCGGCATCGAATGCCCTGTGTGCTCCAAGCTTCTCCGCAAGGCCGCTCTTTGAGTTCTTCCAGGAAAGGGGTTTAAGTTTAGGGTTTAGAGGTTGGGGGTTTAGGCTTAGGGCTTACGTTTAGGGTTAGGGTTTAGGGTTTTAGGGTTTAGGTCTAAGGGTTTAGGGTGATACTAAAGAGGAACAAGAGAAGTTCATCAAGTATTCCTGATAAAATCCGTTGTGAAATACCTTTGCCACTCATAGGTTTCCTATCAGATTCTATTATCATGCGTTCATAACCCAGGTTCTTTACGTTATCTCTTCACCCACCAGCAGCCAGGAAGAGGCGGATGCCCACGTCAATAGCCATTTTGATGGTGGCTCCGCCCGATCCCCAGCTGCAGGTTGGTGTCGGACCCCGTTTGACCCAACGTACTACCCAGACCCCCAAAGGGATCTAAGAATTAGACCCTCTAGAACCATATGGGAATTTATATAAGGATTATATAGTGGTTATAATGGGTCTATATAGGGGATCTAATTTTTAGATCCTCCCAGGGGTCTGGGTAGGTATGAGATTCGCATGACATCTATTCCGAGAGCAGTCCGCTAGCATCCATAGCACGGCTAGCCGCTAGCTCACGCAGAAGTCCGAGCATCAAGATCAAAGTGATCGACCAAGTTCACCAGCCTTGCACCATTTGAGCCATAGTCTAAACTCCTTAAAGGGGCTTTATATAGGGGATTATATAAGGGAGTACTATGGGAGGTTTTTAAAGGGGATACCAGGAATTTAGAGTAACAGTATAGCCCGTTTGATTTCAGATGCTGCTTCCAGGCGGGACCGCCTGCCAAGCGTATTCGAAGCGATGCAGGCACAGGGTCCAACGCCTATACAGAGTCTGTATACCATGATATACTTTAATATCCCATAATATGAACCATAATATACTATAGTGTACCTAAACCCTAAATTCTAAACCCTAAACCCATAATATCCCATAATATGAACCATAATATCCCATAATATACTGGTCCCAGACTCTAAGCCATTGTGGTGCGAGGCGCCGGCGACAGCGAGCTTGGGGCTTACAACAAGAACCAAGGATGCTCAAAAAGGGGCCATTAGGGTTTAGGGTTTAGGGGAAAGTCAAACGGAAAAGCAACTGGACAATGAAATGGCATTTTTGCTTCGTATGGGGGCTTATACCCAAGCCCCTTCAAAGATCCGAAAATGGAACCCCCTAATAATGCCCGAGTTCCCCCAATGTAGTAATGGCTTTATATTCGGGGGTTTCCACTTTTTGGATCCTTTAGGGGGTTCTGGG